CGTCATCAAGATTGGGGCTGCTGGGGAGTGTGAGAAATGGTCCCAGCCTCCCCCAGGGCTGAGCTCTGCTCCTAATGTTCTGATTCTCTCTCTTCCCAGTGAATGTGACTCTGGATCCAGACACGGCCCATCCCCACCTCGTTCTGTCTGAGGACTGGAAAAGTGTGACACGGGGAGACACACGGCAGCATCTGCCCAACACCCCTGAGAGATTTGACACTAAGCCCTGTGTGCTGGGCTGTGAGGGATTCACCTCGGGAAGACATTGCTGGGAGGTGGAGGTGCAGGGTGGGGGAGGCTGGGCTGTGGGGGTGGCCAGAGAGTCTGTGAGGAGGAAGGGATGGATCAGCTGTAGCCCTGAGGGGGGGATCTGGGCTGTTGGGTGGTTGGGGGATCAGTTCTGGGCTCTCACCTCCCCTGAGAACCCCCTTCCCCGGCGCCGGATCCCCAGCAGGATCCGGGTTTGTCTGGACTGTGACCAGGGGCAGGTGATATTTATCGATGCTGGTGACGAGGCCCCGATCTTCACTTTCCCGCCGGGCTCCGTCCCTGGGGGGAGAATCCGACCCTGGCTCTGGGTGTGGCTGGGATCCCAGCTCAGACTGTGTCCCTGAGGGGAGGCGGGGGTGGGGATATTCCACTGGAGAACTGGAAATCAGCCTTTCTAGCCTCACACACCCTAGTCTCTATGACCTTGGAGGACTCCTGTCTACCCAGCCCCTGGCTCCTCATCTCTATGACCTATGGAAGCCCCTCCCCTTCCCTGCAGCACCAGGGATGGAAGGAGGAGAGGGGAAGAACCCCTGGGGCTGCAGGAGGAGCAGAGGGGCCCTGAGGGGCAGAGGTGGGGGCTGGGCAGGGGGCAGAACTAACAGCCGGGCTGGGGACAGGCAGACATGGGGGTGGCAGGGACACAGAATGAATCAATCAGGGTTTGGGGGGTTGGGGAGAAGCAGCAGCAGGGAGCGTTTTGTACAGATCTGTGGGATTAGCTCTCACTGGGGTCTCCCAGCCAGAGCTTCTGCCACAGGGGCCCAAGTCACCTTCCCCTGTAACTACAGGACAGCTGGTCACCCTGTAATTGTCACACACAGGTGGCAGGGGGAGATGGGTGCAGATTGACAAAAAAAACCATTATATTACCTTAAAAAAATCATCATTGGGTCAGTCTCATGATTTTTTTTTAAAGTCCTGAGGTTGGCAGCACTGGGGGAGGCAGGGACAGGGCAGGTTTAACCAGAGGGAATTAGAAGAAGCAAGAAGAAAAATGTAAATTAGAATAAAAGGAGAGTCTATGAGAAATGGTGGAAAACAGAAATGAGAACAGTGACAGGAAAATATCCCTGATAGGGGAACCAGCCGGAGGCAGCAAGACGGGAAGAGATAAAATTAGGGGAAAGAAGGCCATGGGGGATGATCTGTGACAAGGAGGGGAGGAGTGTGGGAGAGAGACAGGAAAATAAGCAGGGATCAGAAGTGAGGCTTAGAAAAATGATTAGAAAAGGACAGTATGAAAGGAAAGGGAACATGAGAGGGACAGAGATTTATTAAAAGTTACTGAAAGTGACACTGTAACTCATTAATTCCCTATATTGATTCCTGGACGACTGTACTGTTGTTGTGCCATTAAGAAAACTGTTCTCAGTAGCTGGGCATCTCCTTTCCATGCTGTGGTTATTAAGGCTCCTTCTCGGCTCTGTCGGGTTGGGACAAGGTTGTTCATGAGAAAGTTGGTAACCCTAATTCTGTAAATAAAACATTACAAACAATTCTTCGAGTTTGTTCCACTTTAATGTCCCAGCTGCAGCTGCTGGGGGCAGCATCATGGGATTTGCTTCTGACTTGGTTGTGTCCTCCGAACCCCCGCAGGGAATATCGCGCCTCTAGGAGGAGAGTTTGGGTTTTACTGTGATGTGTCACTCTCCAGCCTGCGCTCTGTCTCTGTCCTGTACAAACCCATGTCAATTAGGAATTGCTCAGCTGTGCTCTGCGGAGAGGTGACTGGTTACACAGGGGGCAAGTCATGAAGGGACTTGGTGTTGCAATGCTGAGCGTCATGGCAGGGCCTAATTTGTGGGCAACTAGAAAATCACAGTCCGCCACTCTGCGAAGCTGAGTTGGGCCCTGGACTCCCTACACAGTGCATGGGCATCACAGGCAGTGTTTTCACCAGGAATTGAAATTGGGGGGGTGTTCGAATTTATTGTCGGGAGGAAGAGAGGGGTTTCAGGGCCGATGAGGGGTGAGACCGTGAGGGTGAAGGTGGGCTCTATGGCACCATAGTAAAAACTGAAAAATGTTTCATGACCATTTTATTAAATTTAACTCACGTTTTAAAATCACACAAATTAAAGTTGGTTACTCAAGCCTTCTATGAAGCACTACGTCTACATCCTTCTTGGTTTCTTGTTATAGTTTTGCACAACTCTGTTAATGAACTTCTTGAATGCAACGAGTTCATCTTTGGTGGCTTCTCATGTGTCCAGTACTTCCGTTCCTTCCGTTGATATGCTCATTAGTTCAGTCACATGATCAGGCAGAAGGTGACTTCTTTCAATACACAAAATATTCTATTCAATGATGAAAAAGAACGTTCAACTGCAGCTGTTGTGATTGGGAGTAGCAAGAGATGAATTCCTACTTCTTTCATCCCAGGAAACATAGCATAAAGATCACGCTGAGCCACTAGAGATGATAAAAAAAGAAGTTGAAGTCAAATCTTCATTCATTTGTTATATGATATTCTACTCTGTGTTCAAATTCTCTATTTTGTCCTGAGCAGATGACAGCCCCGTTGCTGGTAGTGCCTCACTCCACTCAACTGTTGGTGTTTTATAGGTCAGGCATCTGTAAAAGCTACGTAGAGGTTGAGTAGCATCTAGAAGTCACCATTGTAGATTTTTAAGAATCAAGTCTGTGTATTTTTTCAGTTGTCTTAACAAACACTTCTTGTCCTCTTCACTTAAGGTTTCAATATAAATGCCTTCATTAGTCAACTTCTGGACTGAAGTCTTTGCTTCTTCCAGTACTTTTTCAATGAATAGTGAGCATTTGCTGGTCTTGTTCGGAACCAGTGTTCAACTTCAGGATGAACAAGTGACAATGCACTTAACATTGGCCTCCAGTTTGTAGCATGTGGTATCTCTTGCTTCAATAGAAAGTATGATGCCACAGCCATGTTTGTTCGCATGAACTGTGTTGTGTCTCCAGCATTCCTAAGAGCCTCATTAACACTCACCAGTGTTGTCCTTAGTCAGTGGAGACTCAGCGTTCAGAGGTGCTTTCACATGAGTTCACCTCCCAGGTCGGGGGCAGGAAGGTACCTTGCTCGTTCCTCCAGCTGCTCACTGTTTGCTCTGGCCACTGTTGTTCATTGTGCCACCGTTCACTCCACCGCTCTGTTGCCAATGGCCCTGCGCAGTCACCTTCTGCTGCCACTGTGACCTCTGTGAGTTGGTCTTTTGAGGTTCCACCCAGCTCTCAGTGATTTCAGCTGAGCTCTCAGTGGGGGAACCTCGCTGCTAGTGCAGTATGGGCCGTCTCTTCCACAGAAACACTGTCCCACAGCAGGTCTAAGCACTTGTATAAGGAAGCTAGTCTATGTTCATATTTTTCAAATCTATTACACTTTTTCAGATACATGTATTTTATCATACACTTTATATGCTTTTAAAGTGTTTATTAATGTTTCCATTCAAATGTCCAAACAATCACTAGATTGGCAACATTGCATGTAACTAGTTCACAAAACTTGGGGGGAGGGGTGTTGGGAAAATTCAGGGGGGGGGTGTAGGGAAATCCCTGATCACAGGCACCTTACAGTGAGATTCACAAAAGCCAGCTCGCGGGGGGGCGGAGCCATCTAAGCTAGTCAATGGGAAAGGTGACAAGGGGGGAGGGGTGTCCTAAGCCCGCCCCCTCTCACAGATAGGTATCTAAATCTGGGCAGCAGAGGGGCGTCTGTCTCTACTTAGCAACCCACCGACAGGAACCCAGCACCTGACGTCAGGTGACTCAGGCTCCGAAGGCGTTTCCTGCTGGAATGAAGTAGGCACCTGCCTCACTCCACACAAAATGTGAGGGGTGGGGGGAAGGAGAATGTGGTTTTGGTGATATCACCCGGCTTGTGACGTTTACCCCCATGGTTAGAGCACTCAGCTGGCATGTGGGAGACCCAGGTTCAGTTCTCCTGTCATGTCGTCTAGAGCAGGGGGTTTCAAAGTCTGGGTCGCGGCTGGTCAGGAGAAGGGGAATGACGAACCGCGGCCACTGGGTGCTGCGAACGGCGGTTCCTGTGGACACTCAGTTAAAGGAAGCATCTTTCCAGCAGCTTTCCCTGACCATCCATGGCCCAAACTTTGAACACCCCTGGTCTAGAGTAGCTGAGGAATGTGAGTATCAACCTCAGGGCAGTTACAAAGCAGGGCACAAACCCCACACGGGTCGTGAGTTCTGTGTTTAGATTTCACTCACCAGGTATCAAGTGTGATCCCCTCAAGCACTAAAACAGCCTTAACATGGGCGGTGGGTGAAGCTTCCCCTGGGGGAGGCTAGTTCCCTGTCCCATCTCTTGCAACCGCATTCCACCCCCAGGCCCTGCCCCTGCTCCACTCCAGGCTCTGCCCCTTCCCTGCTCAGCTGCCATGACTCGCTGCATCCCTCCTCTCCTGCCCCCGTGAGGGTGGGGGTTGAGAAGGGATGCAGCGTGTGGGGGAGGGGTCTCAAAGGGAAAGAGGGGAGAGGAAGGATGTGGCAACGGGTGGGGGATGGGGTTGTGAGGAGGGATGTGACGAGCAGGCAGGGGCTCGGGTGAGGGAGGGGCGGGACACCGCAGGTTGGCGGTTAAAGTCACCAGCTGCTCTATCCTAGCCACAAAGAATGGTGGAAGACGTAGAATGGGAGGTAGTCTCTCCCCAGCCCAGGAAGACTCCTTCCCACCCCAAGGCAAAGGGAGCAGGAGGTGGCAGCACTGGAGGGAGAGCCTCTCCCTAATACAGAAACCAGGAGAAGCATCTAGGAAAGAGCCCCTCACAGCCAAAGGGGAAGGGATGTGACAACCCTGAGGGGGAGACCTCTCCATTCATGTCTCTGAATTTAATATTTCAGACATGTAGAAATATTCACCAGAACTCACATGGTCAGAGTTAAGGGTGTTTGAATGCTAGGCAGTGAGAAGGTTTCTGTTTACTGCTGCATGTGTCCCAAAAATTGTTAGGTGCCACCGGACTGCTGTAAGGGAAAGCCTCGTATCTGACCCCCAGGATCCCCAGATAATTCAAGCTTCTGGGACCGGAAGAGGAATAGCTCCCTATCCAGAGACCTGGAACCCGCTACCTTAGCCCTTGGTGCACAGCTGACCTTCCAGATTGCCACATCAAGGTGAGAGCCTGCTGGTTTTCAGCTGAACTCTCTCTGGAAGCACACAGTAGTTGTGAAGCATTTCACACGCAAAGATACTCTTTGCACAAGTCCAACACATTATTGCTCTTTCACTTAACGTACATAAAGTACAAGAGCGTTCATATCGCGTAGCACAAAACAACCAACTTAACCACAGTGCCTCTCACTAGCTCACCCTTCCCTGGGGAGTCCTGGGGGCCATGTGGGATCAGGAAAAGCAGGCAGGGCTCCTGGCCTCATGAAGCTGCTACATGCTGGGTTACTTTGTTCTCTCCTTTTGAATTGGAGACAAAGAGCGAGATCCATGACGGGACCTAGATATTGTACTCCTGGCGGAATTCTGCACACAATATTTTAAAATTCTGTATATTTTATATGTCAAAATAACACAATATAATCATGCCAGTTTCAATTATTTTGGTCATTTTTTTTCAAAAT